ATGTACTTGGTTTTCTAGTTCAGCATTTAACACAAACCCCTTCCTTCAAAGTAATTTATTTTTCGCGTTTATTACGAGTAACATCGGCTGCAGAGTGCTGAAAGTACTAGTTTGAATTCAAAGTTTATATATACGCCACTTAGGCCACTATGAATTGTTTAATATATATATATATATATATATGTATTTGTACGATTGTTTCTCCTAAATAGGATTTTACGTTTCATAATTTGAGGTATTGAACACTCTTTCAATCTTATAAATTTCACTTTTTACATCTCAAGATTTGAAATCAAGAATTTTTTTACGTTAAAATATCAAGTTTTAATTAATTAGAGGTTATATGAATACTTTTGTGATAAAAGATAAAATTGTACAAATCGTACACATTGTAATATAGTAAGAACAAGATAAGGAGGCTCAATAAGTTCAAAAGCTTAAAGTGAAATATTCAATAAGGCTTTTTTTTATTGAAATTAAAAAAAATTATTAAATTTTTATTCTTCTAGATTTTTGAGATGCAAAATTTTTATATTTTTTAAATGACTAATACAAAATAAAAAATAAAAATTTTTAATTCCAATAAATCAACTATCACATAAAATAAAGATAATATAACAATATAATATAAATTCTAAATTAAAATAAAAAAATTTATAAATATTAGAACAATAGTACCTAATTGTTGAATGCTTAATTACAAACTGTAAATGAGGCTCATGGCTTTATGAAGATAATAACATAGCAGACTTCTTGTATATTTTTTGAAAGAAAATTGAAGTTAAAAGAAGAAAGAACAAATAAGAAAAGAAGAATTCAAAAGTAGGTATTATTTATTGAAAAAGAAATAATTAGTTTTATATATATGAAAAAAAATAGTTGTTAGAAATCATTAAATATGTTGATTGGAAATAAGAGACATAAGTGAGAAAAAAATAGTTATTGAAGATGATTAAATACATATAACCGTTAGTTGATTGGAAATAATATAGTATTTTAGAAATTAAAAAGTGACAAAAAATTAAGATTTATTAGACACGTAATTAAGGAAGTGAAAAAACAAGTAATTTTATTAATTATTTTTTAATTTTTATATATTTTTAATATAATAAATTATATTATAAAATTATAAAACCTCCTTAAATTGGAGGCCTAAAGCCCTTGCTTGGGTGGCTTCACTCAGCAAGTTCAATTTATGTTAAAAAAGAAAAAGAGTTCTATTTATGTTTTGTTATTTTTTTTAAACAATGGTAAATTCTAATTCACCTCTTGTGGTTTCAATTTTTTTTACACGGTATCTTGTACTTTTTTTTTCCCGAATTAACACCACATGTGTAACTTTTTCTCCAATTAATACTTGGTAAATAACTTCTGTTCTCACAAAAAGATAAAATTGTTAACTATATTTGAAAAAATAATCAAAATATCCTCAATTCAAAATTGACCTACTTGTTCATATTTAAGAGAAGTTTTGTAGTTTTATTAGGTAAAATTAATAACCTAACTCCTTGGGGGAACAAAAGTTATTCAAAAGGTATAATGCTTAGAATTTCATCTTAACTCAAAGGGTCATCTTACTTTCATATGTCTAAAAAAAATGTAATTAAATGTTTTTGAACTCCTCAATCCTCATTGTGTTGGTGGCTAAGGCAAGAATTGATTTTTGTTCTTAGAAGTACAATGCTGTAGCTTCCGTACAACCATGGTAGTATTCCATAGAAGAGATTTACGAGGTCCTGTTAATGTAGTGAGAAGTATCCATTCCTGTTTCCTAGCTTAATTTGTGCCATAAGTTAACAGACGAAAAACTCATCACGCATATGAATGACGGTGATGAATTCCCATACAAGTATTCAGCCTATCGAAAACCATGTTGTTATTTTACGTACACCAAGGGTTGTCGAGAAATTAAGTTGCCATGTGCAAGGAGGAGCATTCTGAAAGTGCGCCATAGACTTCAACGCATGCAATTATATCATCTTGTAAATGATAAACAATGGAACATATATTAGAATAGTTCCAACACAGCACATAAAAACCTTAATTTCTTCTTTCAATTTATATAATTGGTTACGCGCTTTCTCTCTTTATTTCTGTTTCCCCTGAGTATAGTTAATGAAGACTAGTGTGAATTAAGCTAGCTACCACCCAACTTTGTCATATATAAGTTCCCATCAAGCTGGACTCTTTTACTATCTCTATGCTTTTGCTTTATCTTTAGTCTTTTTAGGATACATTCCTGTTTAGCTACATGCTAACTGGGATTTCGAACGGGGCATGGCACACATGAACATTCCCTGGATCTTCTTCGTTCAAATCTTGGCTCTGGCTTCTAACTCCGAAGCTAAAGTTTCTGCTATTATATCCTTTGGAGATTCATTTGTGGATTCAGGTAACAACAATTACATTCCAACAATTGCCAAGTGCAATTTCGAGCCTTATGGCCGTGATTTTCCTGGAGGCAGGCCCACCGGACGCTTCTGCAATGGCCGCCTTCCTCCTGACTTCATCTCCGAGGGCTTTGGGCTAAAACCTATTATTCCTGCCTACTTGGATCCTACCTTAAACATCTCAGACTTTGCCTCTGGAGTTTGCTTTGCTTCTGCTGCAACTGGCTACGACAATGCTACGGCAGATGTAATGGTAAGCTCTCAGTCAAAGTGGTTGTAAATAAATAATACTGCACTGAGCATATTCCTCATCATAGTTATTTAACTTAACCTAGTTAAGTATCTAAGCTATTCAGGATAGTTTGATCTCATCCTGTACCATATAATTGTTGCTGGTCTTCTGGTTTTTTCTTTCTTTTGTCTTTCCTCATTCATCACAGAAATTGCTATTTAAGTCAAGAACATAACTCTGCCATTTAAGGCATTAAATTCTTAGGACTGTTTGACGGTATCCATTTACCTGTCCTTTCTGTGAAATTGAGTGGTATTGATTATACCATGGCAGAAAGTGATTCCTCTGTGGAAGGAAGTGGAGTACTACAAGGAGTACCAAAAGAAGTTGCGAGCCTATCTTGGCGATAAGAAGGCGAACGGGATAATTTCCGAGGCCTTATATCTAATAAGCATAGGAACGAATGATTTCCTTGAAAACTATTATGCCCTTCCACAGAGACCGTCCCAATTCACCGTACAAGAATATGAGGATTTCCTCATTGGCATTGCTGAAAATTTCGTTAGACAAATTTACGGTCTAGGAGCTCGAAAGATGTCCCTCACAGGACTGCCACCAATTGGCTGTTTGCCAGTGCAGAGAGCCACAAATTTTGAGGACCCTCTTAACTGCGTGGAGGAACGCAACAAAGTTGCTTTGGAGTTTAATGGCAAGTTGAAAGTGTTGGTGGCAAAGTTGAATAAGGAACTTCCTGGGTTGAAAGTGTTCTTCGCGGATGCTTATGACCTACTTTTGCAGCTTATCAAAAATCCTTCTACGTATGGTAAGTTTTTACTATCATTGTCCTACTCGTTCGCCAATAGTTATCTTAAAATATTTTTGGCATAATAATCTAGAAAATATTTTAATCTATTTAAAAAATTTTAAATAAGTACTTGTATTATATTCAATCAAGTTTTTATATTTTTATTTTCAATCAAATAAATTTTTATATTTTTATTTTGAATCAATTATATAATTTTAGATGATTAATGGTTAATTTAATCAAAATATCATTTGTTATTTTTTATTATGTATTACTGACATGGCATGTTAATATATTATAATAGATGATGACATGGCATGATTATGTGTCATGTGATATTTTTACTATTCACATACGTATACAATGACAAATAAAAATTTTATTAGTGACAATTAATCAACTATTAATTATAAAAACTTATTTGAAGAAATAAAAGTACAAAAACTTAATTGTATGCAATATACCTGTATTTTTTTTTGAAAAAAAAATAAAAATATTATTTTTAATATGTTTAAATATACTCAAATCTGTCTGAACTGAACTCTCTTCAACTCTAGACATTTGTTATAACTAGATGTTGAAGAGGTCCAAAACACCTCTATCAAGATTGCCGAGTTCATTTAAGCTATGAGCAGAGCAAATTTATTATACAAGCAATTAGGTAGTAGTATTTAGGGTTTAGCGATTAACACTTTTCCGGTGAACAAAAGTTGTTGTGCACCATCATTAATTGAGCTTGCAGACAGCAGACCAATTTAAGGGCATGCTACTGAACTTTCATCCGATGATGAGTGGGCGCAGAGCAATTTATAATCTGATTGGTTATTGAAAAATTAAGGAGAACCAACTGGCTGCTGATTCATAATCCTCTTGCATTAAAAAAAATAATGCATGTCCCAAATAAACTAAATGATATATAAAGTTATTATCTTATACATTAACCGCAAAGCTTTGAATAATTGATGATAAACATATATGGTTTGTTGTTTGATTGTCAGGATTTGAGATTGCAGAAGAAGGGTGTTGTGGCACAGGGCTGTTCGAGACGAGTATTCTGTGCAATCGGCATCATCCACTCACGTGCAAAGATGCAAATAAGTATGTATTTTGGGATTCCATCCACCCCTCACAGCGAACTAATAAAATTACCTCAGATAATTTACTACGGGCCCTCAAACCACTGTTTCTTTGATTTCTCAAACAAATCGAGTCTCTATTTGATGATTGGATGCAGGAGATGATCGACTCTACAAGGAGAAACGAGGAACAATTTCCATTGAATTGAACAAAATAGAAATGCCACAAGGCTTTTTAAGGCAGCAAGAATACAACATTTGTACATTTTCTCTGAATTACGTGAAAAATTATTTCATTGGACGGGCATTATATTGCAATAAATTTGAAACGAATTGTGTATGAAAAAACGTGGAGTAAATTTTTTTGGGTGGTCATTGAACGTTCCTGTTTTATTTTTTATTTTGCATAAAATTACCATTTTTAACCTACCCAACAAAATAAAGGAATAATGGGTGTTAATGAATAGAAAAATCAGATGAAAGAGCCTTCAACTAGATTTAGAATCTTATTCAACTCATGGTTTAGTACATTGCACAAAGGAGAAGTAGTAAAGGTGTTGTTTGTTTAATTAAGCTGCAACACATTCAGTGGTTTTTTTGGGCTCCAGTGACTTCTCATATTCCTCAACAGATTTGAAAAGCTCCGAAAAGTTACCTTTGCCAAACCCTCCACATCTGCCTTTTTGGTACATCTTTCCCGTATCATCCTCGATCATGCAGCCAATTCTCTGAATTATCTCTATAAATGTAGTGGGCCTGCCCAAAAGTACAACTAGTAAAGTTAATCGATACAACTACATGCTCCCTAGGTACATGTTTAACAAAATAAAATCCAAGCGAAGTAAGTAAAATTGTTAGCCATGCAGGTACCTATCTCCAAACGGCTTTGTGAAAATCTGGAGCAGAGTACCCTGATCATCTCTGTCAACCAAAACACCCAATTCTTCACACTCCTTGATCTGCACGTTGCTTAGCACATCACCGGCTCTCTTCTTTAAATTCTTGTAATATGTTGGTGGTGGTGGCGGCATAAACTCGAAGCCTCCAACCCCACTTCTCTTCTTCATCTCTCTTAAGGTTTTGAATATATCCTCACTCACCAATGCAAGATGCTGCACCTCTTCCCCGTCGTTATGCTCCAAAAACGTCTGTATCTGGCTCCTTCTCTTCGTCCCAAACACCGGCTCGCAAATCACCAACAGCACCATCTCATTATTGCTTCCAAGCACCAAAGAGTTTAGCCCACTCTCAAGAGTTCCCACATCTTCTGTAGTAAACTCTGCAAACTCATGAAACCCAGTAACCTCTTTCAAATAAGACACAGCTGGTCCAAGTTCTGGTACGCTTCCGACCAAATGGTCAAGCCGACAGATCCCATAGTCCAAAGGATAAGACAAAGTATCTTCTATTTTTTCGAACCTAGGCAAGAACCAGTTACAAGTTTCATCATCGTTAGGACTCTCATGATCAAATTTCTTAAAACTAATGTACCTCAAAACAACGTCACCGAAGAGAAAGACTTCAGCAAGAACAGCCTGGTTGTCGAGGACTGTTGGAGGGGATGAAGGCTTAGCGCCATGGGAGACGCTAATGGAGAATGCAGTCTCAGCGTCTTCAACCTCCACAGAAATGGCTCGTGCGGCGAGGCCATGGGAGGCGACAAAGGCACGGCAGATGGCGTGATCAAAGGTAGGAATGGAGGCAGTGGCAGCAGGAGAAAGGTTTTCAGCTTGAGCAATGGATGGGGAATAAGGTGCAGTAAAGAGAAAGTTGCACTCTCCAGAGCGTATGAGATAGGAAGCGTGAGCCATGTTTCCAGTGGAAAGGTCGGACTTGGCAGCCAATTGCATGCCAAGTGCCCATGAGAACCGGCGAGCAACATTTGTGGCATCGCTGCACCAAAACTCCACATGATGAAATCGCTTGACTTTGAAGCGGTCAGACATGGGGTTGGTGCGCACAAACTTGGAGGATCCTACAGAGTTGGAGCCACTGCTCTCGATTTCTTTGCCCATTCTTGTCCACTTCCAGTTGATAGAGTAGATTGGAAATGGCATTGAAGAATGGACAAGTTTTGAAAAAACTTGGGGCATTCATTTGGATTTTTATAGTGATTTATTAATTATTTCGTCACTTGATTCTTAATTATAATTAATATTACTTATTCTTTACTCCAAATGTTTGATTCAAATTCTTTCTTCCCAAATAAGAAAAAAAAAAAAGGAAATTAACTGGATTGGCATTTCAACCATGCAAGGATTGCCGACATGTCCCATTGTTACATTGCAGTCCATCATTCCCTTGACATGCCGGTTTTACAAGACAATAAATACATAGATTAGTTTCTTTATCTACATTAATTCAATTTAATTTATTCAAATTCCTAATGTAAATGGAAATTAAACTCAATCAATAAAATTTCAAACCTTCCTTTTCTTAATCGTCCTTGATTTTTTCTTTTCAAATTAGAATATGGTGCATTAATATATTAGGTTTGGTCATTATTATTTAATTGGTTTTATTCCTATGTTTATGTCCATTATTGCCCCAATTTACTTTATTCCTAATAAAATCAAAATTTCCTCAATTATATTCCAGCAATCAATTGTTTTTTTTTTTTCCTTTTCTGTTGCTTCCTTGTTTGGACAGAGAACCTGTCCATTAGTAAAGAGTAGCAGCTTTCTACTCATGTCGGTTCATTGATTTGCCATTCTCCCTATTTCTTAATACCCCCTTACACTTTTTTTTATTCATAGAATAATCATTTTGAGAAATTGAAATAAATATAGTTAATCCATAAGTTAAGGAATAGTTTGAAAAAGTTTTAGAAAAAAATATTTTTAATGATTTTGTGAAATTACTATCCTATATATGTTAGAAACTAACCCAGCATACAAAAGCTTTCATTTATCGACGAATTGCTACTCAAATGAATCGATGGATAAGATGCCATTGACAGAAATGATATAGTTGATATGTGATCGGTAATGATTCGGTGTCAAAGAAATAGGAATGACATTAATATTATCGACTGAAGATTTCATAGGTATTTACTAATTTATCGACGAACTTATCAATCGAATATAGGTCGAAAAAGATATTATGATTTTATCGATCGAATATTCAATCGATAATGAGGATTAAGGTTATTTGAATCAAAATTCTCTCCTCTCTTCTCATATCTACTCCCTCCCCCCTAAACGGTTGACCCCTACAAGCCATTCTTGTGTTGTCGATTGGCTTATCCAGCCTCCCCATTGTCGATTGCACCCCTTCTCCCCAGCCAACCACACCCCTCCCTTTCTTCTCTATTTCAAGTTTGCTGTTCGTTAGTCTCATTGCTCTTCTTTTTTGCTCCTCTTTTTTGGTAGCCATAAACTCCCAAAAAAATCCATTAATTTGTATTTTTGTTGTTATTTAATTTGTATAATTGTTTTATCGCTATTGTATATGTTGCATTATTGTTGTTGTTGTATTATTGTTATTGTGTACGTTGTTGCATTATTGTTGTTGTGTTATTGTTATTGTGTATGTTGTTGCATTTTTGTTATTGTTGTGGTATTATTTTTTTAATTTGTATTATTATTTTATTGTAATTGTGTTGTTGTTGTATTATTGTTTTAATTTGTATTACTATTTTATTGTTATTATTGTTATTGTGTTGTTCTATTTTTGTTTTAATTTGTATTGTTGTTGTTGTGTTATTGTTTACCAACAAAATAGGACCCATATCATTACCGACGAATGCAAATACTAACAGATTTGATGACTTTCCAATGGAATATATTGGCAATCAAATTTTCCATTATGGGCAGATGTTACTTTACTGACTACCAAATCTCTTATAGATTGTCAAGCATTTCATTTTCTTTCTATTAAATTCCGTGAACCAAAACGTGTCTTAAGTTTTTAATTTGTCTTAACCATGGGACGTTTAAGTAAAGATAATTATAAGTTTGGGTCACTTTGGATTCAATTGGGTTTGAAGTTATGTTTGAGTTTCAATTGCAATTGTTAAATGAGTTTAGTGGTTATTAATTGGAGATATTCATGAGTTGAAATGAGTTTGATTAATACCTCTAAAAATTATGTCTGAATAATTAAAAAATATATTTTAAAGTTAAAATTAAATAAAAATAAAGCAAATTGTGGGAAATAACTAACCTGATAAGCTCATTTTAAAAATAATCTTCAATATAATCTTAATTGTTTTTACTCAACTTTTACCATGACTTGACAAAAATGCCTTTAAAACCATTTCAGACAATTAAATGCTTTCAATTTTTCCCTCCTGCCATCCATTTGTTGTGCTTCCCATTTTTCGCTCTTACTATCCAACTTTTTCTAATTTTACCACCATCACCATCTCTCTTTATTTATCTCTCGCCATTTAGTCATACCATCGTCGATCTATAGATCAAAGAGCATGACATAACAGGCAACGACATGTTTTTGAGTTTATTAGTTTACATTCACAAAACCCTTTCTCTCTGCCTATCTCTTGCCATCTTGTTATATCATCATTGATTTATAGACCAAAAAGTATGGTATAGCGAGTAATAACATATTCTTGGATTTATTAGTATTGAGTTTTTCAGTGATTCAAGTCATGCCTTGACGTTTAACAAAATGATTCATGCCTTGGCATGTAACAATAGTAAGAAGAATAAAGTTTTGGCATGTAATATTTGATGCTGAAACCTTAACCTAAGTGTATAACATCTGGTGTTGAAGCTTTCGTCTTGGAGTGTAATATTTGGTACTGAAGTTTTGTTCGTGGCATGTAATATTTGCTACTGAAACTTTGGTGTGTAACGTCTTCTATTGACGTGTGTAATGACATGACATGTAACAACAATATTTATTTAAACATGATGTGTAATTTGCTCATTTGTATTCCATTATAATATAAATTCTTGGAGTTAAAGTGTGTAACAATTTTTTTTTAACTGTAACAATATTTTTTGAACATGATGTGTAGTAATAACATTTTTTAAATATAACTTGTAACTTGGTCTCTTTTATTGAATTTTACTTGGAAATAAACCTTTGGAGTTAAACATTTTCATGATAGAGATAAAGTTTAAAATCAAAAAAGAATTTGACATGGAAAGGAAGATGTATTGAAAAATTATTCAATAGCAATGTTATTGCTGAGATAAAATAGATTTGGATAATTATCTTTTGAGATTATTTTATTTGTTACATTTCTTATAATCATAAAAAAAAATAATGCGTAATAATTTTTCTTTTCAACATGGCATTTTTTTAACATGTGCACTTGAATACAAGGAGGTTTCATTAAGAATAATTTTATTTTTTAAATTTTTTCTTCTGATCAAAAATAATTAAAATTAAAAAAAGTTATTTTCGAAAGCATTTTATTTTTGAGTGTTACAAAAAATTGTCCCTAAAAACACTATAACAAAATTGAGATTAAATCACACTTCTTTAAGCGACATAATTTTTTGTATAATAAACTCTTAAAAAGTGCAGCTATTTAAAATTTTAGCTTCACTTTTTTCACATTTAATAGTAATATAAAAAAGTACAACGTTTTTAGTTTATGCAATATTTATAGTTACATTTAATTCACAATGCATATAAAACCTTATATAATGAAGTCAGATGTGCAAAAATATTCTAAAAATATAAAAAAAATATTATTAAAAATATTTTTAATAACACATTTTTAAAATATACTATTTTCAGTCATATTTTTTGTAGAAAAAATTTATTTAATAATGTAATAATATCTAGAGTTGAGCCAAGCCCATGGTTCTGGTGGGCTATTCGACTTGTGCACAGGTCATTATTAACTCAATAAAAATAATATTTCTTATTTGATAAATAACACCATATCAATACTATAAATTAGTTTAATATCTTTCATATAAAAATTTTGATAAAAAATAAATTGAAAATTTGTATAGTAAGTAAATATTTAAACAACAGCAATACACCTTTTAACTAATGAGGTTTTGTTTCAATAATAAAAAGGAGGCTCTTGAATTTTGAGATCTCAAGTTCAAATCTCGCCATTAGTGGGTATATTCTATGTTATGCTAAATTTGTCCAACATTGTCTTTGATTGTTGGTTGGTTTATCTGTTCATATCATTAACGTTTTATATAAGATATATAATGTTTTATTGCTATTGTAATTTCTACTTGTAGGTATAACTTTATAAAGAAAAAGGAATACTCTTCACATGCTGAGCCTAAATTGATTTAAATTTTTTTTCATATTTTATTACAAAATTTATGTATGAAGTATTTTCCTTTCAGTTGATCCTCTAAGCTCTAATTAAACTCTTTTTTTTTTTTACAAGTATTACACTTAGATTGTTAAACACTTAAATTATATAAATCAAATATGAATGTGTAAATGATCAATAAGCCTAATTTTTTCTGTAAGGCAAAATCAATTGACCGAATCTTAACACTTACGAAATATAAGAAATTATGATATCTAAAACAAATTAATTCAGTGTGGGTCCTACATTTACATTTAAGAGATGATGACTAAGGTTGATTGTAACACTCCAGTATTTTTTTTTTACTATGTGTTAAAAAATTGACGCATGAACTGCTCTGTAAATAGACAATCACAAAATAGTGTGCAATGTCCCCAATCTAATTTTCTTAAGTTATTAATTTCGTTAAAAATATATCACATATCTCAAGTCCGAAGTTTTTCTGTCATACATAAGATTGCTTTCACTTTGAATTTGGGTTGTTTTATATTATTCATTATGGTTCAAAGATCACATATTACTCTGAGTTTTGAATTTTTTATTTTTTTAATTACTTCAAGTTAACTTGATTTGGATTTTGAACATGTTTAGGCTGATTGGTCTAAACTCATGTCAGATTTTGTCCCTTTGAAAAAAAGTGAGATAAGTTGAGATAATAATAATTCCTAATGTCTGGAATGACGACCTTCCATCAAGAGATCCACCCCATGAAATTAAAAATGATTTTTTGTTACCTTTGTTGGTTCACAATTGATAATACAAGGAATGGAGCAAAGTAAAGCTTCTGGTACCTCACTTTT